TCCCCCCCTCCCCCCCGGGAACTGAGCTGGGAGGAGGGGATTCGGCGCTGTCGGGCTGGGGCTCTGCGGGAGCAGCGGCCTCGAACCACAAATTTGCGCTGTCCGCGAGAGATCAGAAGCCTCCCGCAAAGTGGAACCCGGAAGAATGAGGGAGGACCGCAGTCTCGGGGAACCGGAGTCCCCTCTCCAACTCCGCCGGGACAGAAGCTTCCGGCGCCCCGGCCGCCGCCTGCCCTCGGGGCGCTCGCTCCCCCGGAGGTGTCCTCCCTGGGGGCTGAGAGAGCGCATTCTCTCGTGTCCTACTCATTAAGTAATTATCCCTAATGAGGGCCCAGTCCTGGAGCTTGTTAAAGGATTTCCACCTGGATTTCAAAGTGATAATTAGCGGGGAACGGAGAGGGGAGAGAAGTGGGAAGGAGACACCCGCCGCGCCCCAAGGCCCCCAGTCCGCATTTGCCGGGCGAAGAACCTCCCCATCTCCGTTTGACCCCTAGTGCTGCATTTTGGTCTCTTGATAGGGGAGGGGTCTGTCCGGTTGGATGTTTAGGACTCTAGGGGCAGAGATGTTTTTATTTCGTTGTTTTTGAATTGGGGTCCAGGCTGAGTTTAGGGGTCTCTGCATCCCTCCCAGGGCAGAGAGAGACTCCTGTCCTGGCAGATACCACAGGCTGAGTCACCACCTGCTCAGACAACTAAAATCCAGGCGTCTTCCTCCTTTTCTCGAGGGCTCTCCAGCCCCTTCCGGAACCCAGGTGTCCCTCTACCTCCTTTCTCCAGGGGCCTAAATCTGGGTCCCTCTGGCACCTGGCATGCCCGCTCTCTGAGAGTCAAGCTTCAATCTTGCCGTTAGCAGAGTGGGTTTCTGGTGGGAGATTCAGTAATAAGGGCCTTCCCAGCCCAGCCAGGGCCAGATAGTTCAATGACATCAGTGTCAGGGTTGGGATTACTGACCATGATAGGTTTCCAGCTTTCAGCAAATGGGGATGCCCAAAGGAACAGATAGTGGGTGACCTGTGGCCCCACTGTTTGATTCTGGATGGAGTTACGTTTAGGAGCCTGGCAGCAAAGTGGGGCATCTTTTCTGTTAGTGATGATGCCATCTTCCTCTGGTAAGAGAGCCAAGGCTGCATGGGTGATGGGAAGTTTCTGTTGGGACTGACATCGGCACAGAATGGTTTTGGAGGAGGGCTGGTGTCCTAACATAAATAGGGGGCATAGCAGATACTCACGGAGTTGGGCTTAATGAATTAGGGTGTTGTTTATTCTGTATAGCACCTACCTTGTGACAACTCTTGTTAAATTATTTAATTTTAATTTTCCTATCTTTGTGTCTCAGGTGAGAACTATGTCTTATACTTCTTTATATCTTCAACAGAGTATATAATAGGTGCTTTAAAATACTTGCTTTTTAATTGACAGGTTTTTCTACTCATTTTGCCACCATGCGAATAAACCCGGCCTGCACTAAGGCTGGCTCTTATCTAAACCCAGAAAGGAGGCATTTTTGGAGCAATAGAAATTCAGCCTCCCCTTTCTTGACCCTCCATAGATTGCCAGTCCTGCCCTCCATCTCCTCCAGCTCCTCCTCTTCTGTAAGGTCTCAGCTGGAGCCAGGAACACCAGTCAGAACTTTCTCCCAATAGATAGTCTAATAACTATGATGCCCTTTATAAACATGTTATACTTTATTATAAAAAAGGTCAGTAGAAGGAAACTATTATCATCATTCTTCTTTTCCCCTCTGCCCAATCAGTAGTAAGGTGAAATGGCCATAAGGAGAGAGAGAGAAAATGTAGAAAACACATAGATGAAATGACTACAAGGAGGAAAATTGGAATCTGGGGTGAAGGTGGGAGGGGAGAGTATGGGGATGGTAGAGAAGATGGGTAACTTTTACGACATAAAGCCACAGCTGACTTTTGGTGGAAGAGACAGGAAAATAAATGCTGAGACACCATCAGGGAAAGTCTGGGATGGAGATCAGTGGGTGAGACTGCTGGCCAAACAAAAATCCCCTCCTTGTGTGTCCACCCACAACCCAGCAAGCCAAACCAACAGGGTGTCCACTGTAGACGTTTAGGAAAACTAAGGGATTTGGGAGGAAGAGGGGTCAACCATGTGGATGAGAGAGATTTGTGATTTCTTCTGAATTTTTTTTTTTCTCCAGGGCATGGAGAGAGTGGAGAAGGAAATAAATTCTTTTTTCTTCTTGGATCCGTTTTTTTTGTTTGTTTTGTTTTTTTGTTTTTTTTATTAAGAAAATGGGGCGGAAGCAAGGGTCCTGAAAACTCAGAGATGAGCCTGTTTACATGCAAACTCTTAAGTAATAGTGAATGGAAATAACAATGCTGTCCTGAAACCCAGAGACTCTGCCCTCAGTCTCTCCCTTTCCCCATAATCCCCACTCACAAGTCAGTCTGGGGCATTGCCTTCTAAGGCTCCTGTCCTTTCTTTAGGACTCAGTGCAGTTCTGCATTGGTCCCCCAACATGTCCATCAAACACCTTTTCGTTCTCAGACCATCACATTCTACAGAGAATGTCTGCTCGTATTATTCATTCTTTGTTCTTTGACCCCTAAACTTACATCCTCCTTGCTTATCACTTTGTTCGCCAACCAGTTTCAATGAAGAACAGAGGAAGGGTTAATACTGGTAACCATCAGTATTCTCTGCCCTTCCTGTAGTCCAGGAAATAGAAATTGTGAGTCCAGTTCCTCATCCAGGAAAGGGGCAGAGCATGGAAGAGCCAGGGCTGGGCTCCTATTCCAAGATCACCGTGGGGAAGGGATCTGGCCCATGCCAAGATTCTGCTGCTCCATCAGGTAGACTGGGTAGGAATTGGGGCCACCCTCATCCTCTGGGTCATTGTCCTGGGTGTTCTGGGTTAGTGTGCGGCGTGTCCGCATCATATAGGAGACCTGTGATTGGGATGAGAAAGGAGGAATGAGAACCGTCTGCGATTTGTTTTTCTCAACACTCACCTCAGGTCTTCATTCTATTTTCAAGATTCCATCCGAACCTTGATGTTTATTCCAGCTCTAGATCCGATACAATAAGTCCCAGTTCCCTCCTCTACCATATTCTCCTTGTCCTTATACCTCCTATTCTCATACCCCCGACTCTCCATCCCCAACACTTTCTCTTTCACGCCCTTTCATTCTCAGCCACAGCCTTCTCTCCAGTTCCAGCTTTTTACCTCCTGTGTATTTATTGTCTTTCTCCTCAGTTTTCACCAAAACTCTTCCTCTATTACTGTTCCTCCCACTTCTGCCATGTCTCTTTTCCTAGACTCATTATTCCCTGTAACTCTGACCCTTAATGTGTCCCCAATTCCCTATCCCATAGGTTGATTTCCATGGGGCACATCTGTCCCTTACCAAGAAGACCAGGCCAAGGAACACCAGGAGGAGAATCACAGCCACCAGGACCACAACAACTATGGCCCATGCAGGGAATGAATCATTCTCCCCAATCTGTCCAGCGTGGATACCTTTCTGTGAGTCATCTTTATTGAGGTATGGATGGCTCTCGTTGCCTGGGGCTTCTAATGTGATAGAACTCAACTTTGTTCTACGTGTAATGAGGGTGAAAGAATCAGTGGGCACCTGATGAGTAACCTCAGTTTTATTTAAATGAGAAGAGGTAGTAGTGAGAGATTTGTCTCCTGCGACCTTGACTGAAGGTTTTATAGTCTTTGTGACTGCTGCTGTTTTTTCTGGGTTTTCTGTGGACTTTACTGGGGCTTTTATGGTCTCAGTGGTCAGTGTGGTGTTCCTCGGGTTTTCTGTAGGCTTTTCTGGGACTGATGTGTTTTTCTCTTTGGTGGATCTGGTCTTCTCTGAGTGTAGTGTAGGCTTTTCTGAGGCTCTTGTGGTTTTCTCTGTGGTTGACATGGTCTTTTCTGGGTGTTCTGTAGACTTTTTTGTGACTTGTGTCATCTTCTCATGGGCCAATGTGGTCCTTTCTCCATGTTCTATAGGCTCTGCTGGGGCTGGTGTGATCACATTGGCTGATGTAGTCCATTCTCTATGTTCTGTAGACTCTGCTGCAGATGAGGTGATCTTGTCATTGGGTGATGTGGTCCTTTCTCCATGTTCTGTAGGCTCCGCTACAGATGTTGTGATCTTCTCATTGGCCAAAGTAGTTTTTGCTCCATGTTCTGTAGGCCCTTCTGGGGATACTGTGATCTTCTCATTGGCCAATGTAGTCTTCTCTCCATATTCTGTAGGCTCTACTGGGGATGGTGTGGTGTTCTCAATGGCCGATGGGGTCATTTCTTCATGTTCTGTAGGCTCTGCTGGAGATGGTATGGTCTTCTCGTTGGCTGATGGTGTCCTTTCTCCATGTTCTGTAGGCTTTGCTGGGGATAGTGTGGTGTTCTCATTGGCAAATGGGGTCATTTCTTCATGTTCTGTAGGCTCTGCTGGGGATGGTGTGGTGTTCTCATTGGCTGTCCTTCCTCTATTTTCTGTAGGCTCTTCTGGGAATGATGTGGTCTTCTCATTGGCAAATGGGGTCCTTTGTCCATTTTCTGTAGGCTCTGCTGGGGATGGTGTGGTGTTCTCATTGGCTGTCCTTCCTCTATTTTCTGTAGGCTCTTCTGGGAATGATGTGGTCTTCTCATTGGCAAATGGGGTCCTTTGTCCATTTTCTGTAGGCTCTGCTGGGGATGGTGTGGTTTTCTCGTTGGCTGTCCTTTCTCCATGTTCTGTAGGCTCTGCTGGGGATGGTGTGGTGTTCCCATTGGCTGTCCTTTCTCCATGTTCTGTAGGCTTTGCTAGAGATTGTGTCTCATTGGCTGATATGGTCTCGTGTATGTTTTTTGTAGTTTTTGTCAGGAGCTTATCTGAGGCAACTGTTGTTCTGTAATCTTCAGTTTTTTCTGACTCTTCTGGGGTTCCTGTAGTCTTGTATGTTGTTTTTGAGGCTGCTGTGATTTTTTCTGAAAAAGATGTGTTTTTTTGCTTGGTCTGTGAATTGCATGAGTTGTGGAAGGAAGTTGTAGTCTTATGTGAGGTAGTACTTTTATTATCCAAAGTACTCATGGACTTTTCCAAAGATCTTCCAGTTTCATCTGGTTTTCTTGTTGCTGTTGATTTGCCTGTTGTGGACTTATGACAATTTATTTTGCTCTTGGGTGCTGGCGTTATATGTTTTTTTTCAGAGAATTCTTTATGTGCGGTAGTGGAGTAAGCAGGATCAACAGAGTGCTGATTCCGGATCGTTGGGTCTTTCCCTTGATTGCTGGAGTTTTCTTCAGAAGAGGGAGGAGCCTCATGATTATCTGTAGAGCTTTTGTGGTCTGTAGTTTTGGAGTTGTCTATAGGCTTGTCAGTTGGCTTAGAAGGGCGTGTGGTGGTGCAGTGGCGTTTTCGTTCATGGATTTCTGTAGATTTAGGGAGCTCTGGAGGTCTTTGTCCTGAATGAACAGTGTGATCCAAAGGGATACTATAAACAAGGCCTGGAGTGAGGGGAAATATGTGATCAGATGTTGAGAGTTCCCCAGTTTTCTGATATTCTTGGAATGCAGTAGCACCTGTGGAGGGGGAGAGGCAAATAAGAAACTTCCCCATGATCTTCTCCAACTCCCCCTTCCCACCTCCTTCTCTAGGGGATCTCTTTGCTCCCCACAGTGTGACTCCCCAGTCAGTCTCCTTTGAATACTATGATATCTATTCCCCATTCTCACCTCCAGCCCCTGGGCTCAGGCTGTGCCTTCAGCAAGCCTGCCACCTCATCCCCTTCCACATCTCCTCAACTCTCCATCTCAAGGCCTTCTGGCTTTAGGGCATCTTTTCTGATCTGCCTAAACAGATTAAATCCAGCTTCATTTCAGTGCTTGAAAAGGTCTTTATTCATCATTCTGTCCTGTTACCTTCAACTTCACGTTACAGTTGTTTGCATGCCTGCCGACCTCCACTCCCTGCCACGCCTATCCAATGATAAGGTTTTGAGGGCATGTATGGACTAGCATTTTACTGTGCAGGTGCCCCTTTAGGGTCTGTAACTTATGGAATGGAGTCTCCTTTCCATGGCATAGCTGAGAAGACCAGGAATAAACATTAGACTCTCCACCTTTCCATAACATTCTAACACCATCCCAAATGTAACAGTGTGAGAAATTGAGGTAAGACCTCTGGCAGAACTTCCCATAGGGATTAGCAGGTAGACACAGGTTGTGAGTGAGAGATGTATAAGAAGAATGGAGGATGAGTAGAGGAAGGGGATGGGAAGTTTTCATTTCGGAGATAAAGTTGGATGAGGAGAATGGATGAGATGACCCAACCCTTATGGTCACCCCACTGGGTCCCCCTCTTCACACATTTAAAGCCAACTGGGGATAGATGAAGGGGGCCATCTTGAAAGGAAAAGAGATCTGCTTGGGGGTCCTGACAGGAGTAAACGAGGCAACTAGCTTGTGGGAGGGTCTGACTATGTTTAAGGACAGGGTGTGAGAGAAAACGCCCCTATCAGTGGACAGATGCACGCCTTAATTCCATGGAAAAACAACCTGATGGAGACAGAGGAGATGTCTCTGATACCTAGCCGAAAGAGTGAAGGCCAAGAGATCGCCAAAGAGTGAAAGAGATAGTGTCGTTACATAACTGAGGTTTCCAGTCCCTGTTAGCTTAAGGCGGCAACCAGAACCTGGACCTATTCCCAATCACAAGAAACCACAGTCCACCTGCCTGCTGATGGGCAGAATCGGCCTGGGGAGCTCAGTCCTTGAAAGAAATATGGGCAGGACAAGAAGGGTGTGAGGTTAATAGAGAAGCCCAAGTCTCTGAAAGGAATTGAGAGTGAGGGGAGAGAAGGAGGCTGAATGATCAGGCCTGCACTCTGCTCTCCCAATCCCATTACATGATCTCCTTGGCAGCAATACCAGTAATAGCTATTGTTTATTGGACACCTTCCCCAGCCCTGGGACGTGGCTGGTGGCCTCACAGACATTCTCTTTCTGGATTCTCTTCTATGGTGATTGGTCTCCCAATGCTCCACAGGGCTCTTTAGAAGCGGTCAAGTTCCCCTATTTTACATCTGAGAAATTTACATTTCACGGAGGAAAAGTGACCTGGACATAGTCCCACAACAATAGCAACGGGCAACCTTTCTGGAGCTCTACAATGAGAGAGGCAGGTTCTACAAGTGAGGGCATACGTTAACTTATTTACGTTTCATGAGAACCTGTTGAGGTTGAGAACTATTTCCTATTCTCCCAGTTGTATAGATGAAGAAACAAGGTTCTGAATGGTTAAGTAATCTTCTCAAGGACACCCAGGAAGTAAGAGGTCGAGACAGAATCTGAACATGCGTCTGGGCTCCTGGGCCCAGTTCGTTGCTGGTGAAGACCACAGTGCACAGCCAATAGGTCAGCCCAGTCTTTTAAAGAAGAAAGGACACTGACATATGTGGACTCCCTGAAAGGTGCTGTTCATATATTTGTTTATTTAATCAAATAATTATGAACCTGTGAAGTGAGGATGGTGATCTTACTGTTTTACAGGTGGGGAAAGGAGATGTAAAGAGGTTAAGTAATTGGCAAAATTAGACTTTTCACTGTGCTCCAGAGGCTTTTAAACATGATAAGGGATGAATGACTATCTATCGAGTGAATAAATGAGCTGGCAGCAATGCAAAGGGCAATTTCCACTGGCCTTAAAGAATCAGAGGACAGGTTTGGCATCCAGGCTCAGTCCCTCAACAGTTTTGCGTTCTTGCTCAGGTCACTTAAGTGCTCTGAAGCTCCATGTTCTCAACTGTAAATAACCATGATGCTGACTGCACCAGCTGAATGTGAGGGTTAAAGGAAGTATGGACCATGGCAGACTCTGGAGCACAGAAGCTGTTTAAATGTTTGTTGAATCCACATTGTAGTCTCTGAAATAATCTCATGCCTTGCCCTGTCCTTCTCCTGGTTGTAAGGGGAGCCTGAGCAGTAGCCCTACCCTCCTGCCTGCCCCATCCACCTCTCACCTGCTGTGGCCACCCTCTTGAATACAGCAGCCTCTGCATTCCTGGGCCACTTTCTGATCATCACTTTCTGATATGTGATAAATACAATTAAATTTCCACTATGGCAAGGGTTTTGTTTTTGTTTGTTTTTTTGTTTTTTGAGACGGAGTCTCACTCTGTCGCCAAGGCTGGAGTGCAGTGGTGTGATCTGGGTTCATTTCAACCTCCACCTCCCAGGTTCAAGTGATTTTCCTGCTTCAGCCTCCTGAGTAGCTGGGACTACAGGCATGTGCCACCACGCCCAGCTAATTTTTTGTATTTTTAGTAGAGATGGGGTTTCACTGTGTTAGCTAGGATGGTCTCGATCTCCTGACCTCATGATCTGCCCACCTCAGCCTCCCAAAGTGCTGGGATTACAGGCATGAGCCATCGCGTCCGGCCAGGGTTGTTGTTGTTGTTGTTGTTGTTGTTGTTGTTGTTGTTGTTTTTGAGACAGAGTCTTACTCTGCACCAGGCTGGAGTGCAGTGGTATGGTCACAGCTCACTGCAGCCCTGACCTCCTGGGCTCAAGCAATCCCCCCGCCTCAGCCCCCTGTCAGCTGGGACTACAAATGTGAGCCACTATGCCCCTCTCCCCTTTTTTTTTAAGACACAGGGTCTCACTATGTTGGCCAGGCTGGTCTCAAACTATGGTCCTCAGTGATCCTCTTGTCTCAGCCTCCTAAAGTATTAGGATTATAGGCATGAGCCACTGCGCCTGGCCTGGCCTGCCCTGGCAGGGATTTTTATTTGTTTTGTTTGTCACTGTCTCCAGCCTAGAACAGTATCTGGTCCATAGGAGGCACTTTGTAAATATTTGTCGACTAATGAATGAAAGAACAAGACTGATGAAAATTCCTTAGAAGCCTTGCCAACAACGTTTCATAATGCACATTAAGTAGAAACCAAATGTATTTGTGACCTCCGCAGGCTGGAACACCAAGGGGCAACTTCCGCTGTTAGGTAATTGAGCTCTGAGATGAAAAGATGTTGAAAGGCGGCCTCTGGCCCACCAATTCTGGGATACCAGTTCTCATTAAACCGCAGGATCACAGTCCATAACTAGACTCAGATAACAAGATTTTAGAATTTTAGATCTGCATCAAACAGTTGTGGAACCATAGATTGTAAAAAGCTGAGGTAAAGCTCAAGGGATTCCTTGGTCCTGACACAGCCAAGAGGCAAATCAGTGTAAACCCCCAGGACAAAAGAAGCATCTCTTCCCCAGATGATCTACTTTTGGTAGTGACTTACTTCCCTAGGAAGTTTTCACCAGGAGATATTCATTCCACATACAACCATCGTAGCCTGAAAAGAACTGTTTTGGTCATTGAAGAATAGGCAGGAGGTGCAGAAGAGAAAATCCAACTTTAGCACAAGACATTGTGAATGGATGTTCAGTCGGGATAAAAGAATAAGAACAAATCCCACAACATCAAAACAATGCACAGTGCCAAAGGTCCCTGCCATCTGCTTCGTTCACTCATTTGAAAGGGAGGACATCAGCTGGGCACAATGGCTCTCACCTGTAATCCCAGCACTTGGGGAGGCCAATGTGGGCAGATCACCTGAGGTCAGGAGTTCGAGACCAGCCTGGCCAACATGGCAAAACCCCATCTCTACTAAAAATATGAAAACTAGTCGGGCATGGTGGCGGCAGCCTGTAATCCCAGCTACTCAGGAGACTGAGGCAGGAGAATCAGTTGAACCTGGGAGGTGGAGGTTGCAGTGAGCCAAGATCATGCCACTGCACTCCAACGTGGGCCACAGAGCGAGAGTCTG